AGAAGAAGGAGAAGGAGAAGAAGAAGAAGAAGAAGAAGAAGAAGAAGAAGAAGAAGAAGAAGAAGAAGAAGAAGAAGAAGAAGAAGAAGAAGAAGAAAAAGGAGGAGGAGGAGGAGGAGGAAGAGGAGAAAGAGGAGGAAGAGGAGGAAGTGGAGGAAAAGGAGGAAGAGGAGGAAGAGGAAGAATAGGAAAAAGAGGAGAAGGAGGAGGAAGAGGAAAAAGAGGAGGAAGAAGAGAAAGAAGAATTGTTTATAACGCTCATTCTCCACACAATATAGCTTTAGCGGCTTTACATTACCTCTATCTTAACACCAAACACAAGTGAATGTGCATGCACACGTACGTTCTTTAGATAAACGATAACACAGCAGCAGACATTAATACTATCATAGAACAGCCGATGGCGGTATACACATCACATTATCAATAAGAGTGCTATGAATAAGAAGGACTAAGTATAAAGATAGCATGTAACATATGTTTTTAAATGAGGGTAGGACATGAAATGATGTCTTTTTGAGCTATATGCACTTTCGAACATTACCGATTTCTTTCGAAAGCGGGGCGCTTGAGTAAATTGTGTGTGCATGAGCCAGAGTGAAGAAAAAAGAAGGAAAGAAAAAAGAAGAAGAAGTCGAGACACTCAAGTCAATATCAAACTTATGCGCAAGAAAGAAGGTAGACGTTCTTAATGCTATGTAATTGTGTCTCTTACGTACGTAATCCTCTTAAGCGATTTAGTGCAATCTCTGTTGTTAGTGTTAAATGCAGACGAAGAAAAGCGAGCTGAAGGCAAGATTCAGTTCACAGTTTAAGCATAATGTAAGACCACGGGATATGAAGACAGGACAATTTCTGAGAATCAATGCGCAAATCGTTCCTGTCCGTACTTCTAAGACGCTACCTTCAACGTCTAGATCGTAATCGGTTCATTTTTTTCAAATACCAAAGTTGACAGTTAAACTATCACTTGTTGGAGATTGCTTCTGGCCTATCCCTGAACGGAAAGGTTAAACAGAATTTGTATCATAGAGATGTATTATAGTGTCCTAGACTACGCACTTTGACGTAACTCCATTTCAATATGGTGCGCAGCAATTGAATCAATTTAGAGCCAACTGAAAGGCAAGGGAGGAACAGGGTGCCGAGCTCATTCAACTATAGACACAAAATTGGTGTTTTGCGTACCCTTTATTTGGTCGCCCATGGTATGCACCCTTGAAACGAAGTTTTTATAGAGAGTAAAGAGCAGTGGCCATGACCGTGCAAGGTCTACGATACTTTGATATAAGTTCATGATTTGCTCTTTCTTTGCACAGAGAATTTGTCCAAGTCATGACGTAAAACTCAATATTTCCTCTCGTAATTAGGTGCAAATAACGTCATTAATGATACTTGTGGATTCTGAACTCTACGTCAGTGTCAAACGAGGAAAAAGAATCAACAACAGCGTGTTTGTCGAGAATGATGGATTAGGGAGGGGTTAGTGCTAGATTGCAAATGCTGTACGGCAACATAAGATAATAATATGACTGCACTCGCACTCTCATACATAGACTACAGAAACGTTGAACATCCACCTTCTCCCCTAAACACGCACACACACACACACGCACACACAAACAAACACACACACACATACGCACAGAGACACAAACACATACATACACACACTTACACACACACACACGCAGACATACACTGACACACGAAGATAATGATGATGGTAATGCTGGCATGTGTTAGGCCATAATGTTGATATTAGTTTTTAAACATTCCTGACGACGCCCTAAGATAGTGAACCGTTGAATGTATAAACAAATTGGGAAAATTTTACGAGTCACCGATGGTTTTTTTTGTGTCTTTTGTCTTTTTGTAGTCTGCGATGGTGATGCTACTGAAATTTTCGTGAATATTTCACTTATCATATCTGCTATAATTTGTATATTATATTGTTTTTCAAAATATATTTTCAGGTCAAGAGTGATATTACACTGTGATATAATGACGGAATAGAGCCATTGTGCCTGCAACCAAAGCCTTATGGACAAGACAGCTGCCGTCCGCTTACAGCTTCAGTTCATTCCCAATTTTAACTAATAACACAACTTCTTTGCGAGTATTCAGTTTGGTCATAAGGTTATCTGTACTGAAACTTTGTCTTTAATTGTGACTTTTTCCCGCGAAGAATTCAGGCCCAAGTGCCTTTTTTTATATGAAGCACTTTGATTGCGGGCTGAACAGTAGGCCTGACTTCATCTTTCCAAGATATAGCTACATCGCAGCGTCTGTGATGACAGGACACGGCAATATTAGATCTATTATTATTATTATTATCATTATTATCATTATTATTATTATTATTATTATTATTATTATTATTATTATTATTATGATGATGATGATGATGATGAAAATATGATGAGGATGAAGATATGATGATGATGATGATGATGATGATGATGATGATGATGATGATGATGATGATGACGATGATGATGATGATGATGATGATGATGATGATGATGATGATGGTTAAAACCACAAAGTGCTTTTGGTTATCGCAGCATTCAGCACATTCACCTAATATTTCCAAAGCGACGCCTTTTTTCTAGTCTGTACTCTAGTGTCACTTCTATGTTTTGTGTTTAAGCTTTGCCCATGCTGGTAGACCTGACTTTTGGGTACTGCGACGTAGGCGTAAATGTTTTTTGGACAAGCGGGGTCAAACTAATGATGTTTTGTACCTTGCAGAATATGTTGTTAACAATTGACCTTCACGGCTCATTATTGGAAGGACTGCAGAGGAGCTATCACTTTGATCGTTGTTCGTTAATTTTTGACTACCACGGTGAACTAAAAAAAAAAAAAAAGTTTAATAAAATTTATAAACAAAAAAAAGTACTGCTAGATTCAACACATTATATGATTCTTTAACTGAGCTTACTCCAAATTATCTAGGCATAACACCTCGGGAACGAAAAGCTATTAAAAAAATTCTGATAACACTGAAACCCTTACCATAAACCTTGCCCTATCCCTCAACTTGAACCTATCGGTACTTTTAACACAAATCCCAAACAAAATCTGCTACTTAAATATAGAGCACTGGCAACAGAGACGTCTACCAGACTCAGATTGTGTTGGCTTGGGTTAGGCCAGTAGAAAATAAAGGTATCCGTACGTCTTAAGTTTAATAATTAACTATTGGGTTCTCGGTGTAGGAGGCAAGGTTGCATAGCGATAGCTCAACCGCGGTGCGCCCCGATAATTCACTCGAGAGTTCTGTTACGTCAGTTGCTCTTATACTTATATGTTGTTCGCTTTCATTTTTGCAGATCATAAAATACTTCTGCTTAAGATTAACTAATGTGATTTTGTTCATTGTTGACTTTTTCACTTTTTCACTTTCTCATTTTGACGTTTATTGGCGGTTTTAGAGCCGCAAGATAATCTAGGAATTTCTTTTCCTTTGTGGCAATAGATTAAAAGAATGTTTGGGAATTTTTGGGTCTTCACTTTTTTAATTGGTTGTTTTGCTGTTTTGTTTGTTCTTGTTGTTTGTTTGTTTCTTTTTTTTTTGTTTGTCTTTCCTCCTGCAGTTAAGTTAATAGTTCTTGGATATTTATTTTTGTTTACAGCTATAGAGATAATTACAGTTTTCCCTTTTTTTTTTTTGAATTTTTGGAAATGTTTCTCATTCACCAATGTTTCTTTTAAACGATGTTTGGAAAGCGAGAAGTAGTTACATTAGCTCACTGAAATAGTTATTGCTTTGGTTTTTAATTTTGTTTAAAATGAGAGGAGCATTCAGGAACTGTAAAATACTATAGATCGTTGTACCCTTTAATTAAAATTCAGTAGGTATGTTGAAAAGATGTGATATTCAAGTGTGTCATATTGCCTATCTATACGTATACTGCTGATCTGTACGAAGCATTTGTTGGCATTAATGTATTCTGACTGGTAAATAAAATCGAAAAATTGACTTCGAATCATGTTGATTTTTTTTTGGCTTTGTTTGTTTGTTCGTTTGCTTGAACCCGGTTTTAATTAATTGTATGAGAAGGTGGTTGTGGAGGAGGTGGAGGTGGAGAAAGAGGAGAAGTAAATCAAGAACAAGAACAATATCAAAAACAAAATCAAGAGCAAATAAAAACAAGAGGTTGAGGGAGAAAAAGAAGATGAGAGGTACGGAGAAAGGGTTAGAGAGGGGAGGAATCGGGAGAGGGAAAAAGAGAGGATGGGTAAGGAGGAGAAATGAAAATGGAGAGAACAGGACGATAAGAAGAAGGATAAGGTGAAAGAGAAGGATATGATGTTTCTATGACTGCTCAATTTGTTTCTTGTCCCAATAAAATTGTTTTTTACAAAAAAAGGATAACCACTCTATGATGGAATTCTCAGGTTACAAATAAATGAGTATTAATGATGTTAAAGGTCTTTTCAACGTATCAGTACCAGACAATCAAACATGTTCCTGGAATTGCGACTGGGCTGAGAGAATATTATTATCTCGTTTTGATGGTATTGATCATGGCATCGAGACTCAAAAATATTTTGTGGGTGGTTGGAGGGTGCTCTGGTGTGGTTTGCTCCTTTTTTCCTATCAAACACCTGTCGTCCTTATCTCTCCTCCTTCTTTTTTGTCTTTGTTACTCTCTTGTAACACCTCCAATCTCCAGCACTTGTATGACCTTATTGTGTTGCAAGTGCCGTAAAACTCTTACTAAAACAAACAAAAAATGCTGTGCTCTTGCTGCGTACAGATTAGTATTGACGCAACACACACACACACACGCACACACACACACACACACACAAACACACACACACACACACACACATACAAACATACA